AAAAGACAGTATAAGTCATTATAATCCGTAATTATGTCCCCACTGGATGCAACAAATGCATCGTTTATAATGGGTTTGAATGTTTTTGTCTCATCGCTCCGGCCGGACAGGGCATCACAATATGGTAAGGGGCGTAACATTCCCATCACATGCTTGAGGTATTCGGCCAATCATAATGCACTGGATAGCTGGCCAATCAGAGCACACTTCGCTTTTCAGACCGATGAGCTTTGTGAAAATTTACGCGTTTCAGAAAGGAACAAAGGAAATAATGTACAGTATGTGGAAAATAATGTGTTTTTTGAACCTTAAACCGCATAAACACATTTCATTACACCAAATACACAAAATAATGTTCTTTTTAGCAACATCATATGACCCCTTTAATATCAGCTACCAAATGCAACAATGCAAGAATTTAATATCAGCTACCAAATGACACATTATTTATTTATTTTTTGGAAATTCCATTCATAATAATTTACTAAATAATTTACAAAATATATAATATGCTCTTCTATGAGCTAAAGTTATTCTTCTCAATTTGTATTAACATCTTTGATCTATAGGAAAGCATGAGGAAAGACTAGATGAGCACGGCTACATTGCTAGATGTTTCACAAGAAAATACACGTAAGTGTTAACAAATTCATTTAAAAGTTTGGGGTTGGTGAGATTTTTTGAGGATGATCATCAAGGCTGTATTTATTTAATCAAATATACAGTAAAAACAGTAATGTTGTGAAATATTATTACAATTTAAAATAACTATAAAATGCAATTTATGCCTGTGATGGGAAAGCTAAGTTTTCAGCATCATTACTCCAGTCTTCAGTGTCACATTATCCTTCAGAAATCATTCAAACATGCTGATTTTTTTCTCACCATTTCCTAAGACTCCCAGGTGGTGTTGATGCTGAAAATCTCCAGTCGCATCTGTCCGCAGATGGGATCCTTACAGTGGAGGCACCATTACCCAGCATTCCCCTCCCTGCTGATGTCAATATCCCCATCCAGGTATTGATTAGTTCTGACAGCTGTTTAATCTTTAATCATACAGTCTGACCATATTCACTAATTGAAGCTCAACATTAGGCACTGAGTGTTCTGGGTGGCATGCATTGCACTTGTTTATAATATGTCACCATTACATTTAAGTGGTGCTTTCTGCCATTCATGGTGAAATGGCACCATTATTATCATTATTGAAAACTTTTCTAGGTAAATTCAAGGATAAACACTACCCATCCATCCTCCGGTACCTAATTGGTTTTGTATAAGAGCTAGACATTGCAGGTAGAGTAACTGTTTCTCAGGAGCTGTAATTTTAGCCAGTCTATTGGCAAAAAGCTGACAGCAATTTAAGTTTGCAGGAGAAGCTAGGTTGTAATACAGACATGCGAGAATAAAAGGATTTCTCAAAACTTATTATTTCAATTATTTTGTTGTATTATATTATTGCATGAGATGTGGCCATTCAAATGAATTTGCATCACTTTAGAATGTAGATATTTTTTATCTGTTGCATGTCTTTGTCAATTTATGCCAATTTGTTAAGCCATGCCGTCATAACAGGCTGCAAAAAATATATATATATTTTTTTATATTAAAGCAATACGGATTTCATAAATAATTAGAGGTATACAATTCTACAATTTTGTAAATGTCAAATGCCAGATTTGAAGTCAGTTTATAAATTAATCATCCAGCAATTCCAATTACCAGGCTCATAATTGTTCTAATAACCAACAAAGAGATCAAATGAAAGCTTATTTTCCCGCAGGGGACATATGGCCTTTCTTCACAACCCAGAAAATTAATAATTTTTGTGTACACTGACCCTGGCATTTTAGGGTCTTGATGTGGCATTTAAGATCTTGACTTCATTTAAAGACTGTTTCGCGTTTGCCACAGCTGGAGGAAACCGTTGGAGGAAAACAAGAAGATGCTGATGAGCCTCAAGTTGAAGCAGAAGCGAAACCAGAATCATTTGAAGGAGAAACGCCTGAACCCTCAGTCTCAACTGAGCTTCCTGAGGGTGGACAGATCACCGAACGAGACCAGCAGACTGTATCTGATGTAGATCCATCTAGAGAACCAAAGGTCTATTTTATTCTGTTTTAGCACAGTGTGTGTGAAATTTTCACAAAGCTGTTGATCAATAAAAACTAATTATCAGAATTTTTTTTCTCACCACTGCCTAAGACTTCCAGGTGGTGTTGAAGCTGAAAGTCTCCAGTCCTGTCTGTCCTCCGATGGGATTCTTACAGTGGAAGCACCATCAGCCGGCATTCCCCTCCCTGCTGATGTCAAAATCCCCATCCAAGTATTGATTAGTTCTGACAGCTGTTTAATCTGTAATCATACAGTCTGAACATTTTCACTTATTGAAGCTCAAAATTAGGCACTGAGTGTTCTGGGTGGCATGCATTGCACTTGTTTATAATATGTCACCATTACATTTAAGTGGTGCTTTCTGCCATTCATGGTGAAATGGCACCATTATTATCATTATTGAAAACTTTTCTAGGTAAATTCAAGGATAAACACTACCCATCCATCCTCCGGTACCTAATTGGTTTTGTATAAGAGCTAGACATTGCAGGTAGAGTAACTGTTTCTCAGGAGCTGTAATTTTAGCCAGTCTATTGGCAAAAAGCTGACAGCAATTTAAGTTTGCAGGAGAAGCTAGGTTGTAATACAGACATGCGAGAATAAAAGGATTTCTCAAAACTTATTATTTCAATTATTTTGTTGTATTATATTATTGCATGAGATGTGGCCATTCAAATGAATTTGCATCACTTTAGAATGTAGATATTTTTTATCTGTTGCATGTCTTTGTCAATTTATGCCAATTTGTTAAGCCATGCCGTCATAACAGGCTGCAAAAAATATATATATATTTTTTTATATTAAAGCAATACGGATTTCATAAATAATTAGAGGTATACAATTCTACAATTTTGTAAATGTCAAATGCCAGATTTGAAGTCAGTTTATAAATTAATCATCCAGCAATTCCAATTACCAGGCTCATAATTGTTCTAATAACCAACAAAGAGATCAAATGAAAGCTTATTTTCCCGCAGGGGACATATGGCCTTTCTTCACAACCCAGAAAATTAATAATTTTTGTGTACACTGACCCTGGCATTTTAGGGTCTTGATGTGGCATTTAAGATCTTGACTTCATTTAAAGACTGTTTCGCGTTTGCCACAGCTGGAGGAAACCGTTGGAGGAAAACAAGAAGATGCTGATGAGCCTCAAGTTGAAGCAGAAGCGAAACCAGAATCATTTGAAGGAGAAACGCCTGAACCCTCAGTCTCAACTGAGCTTCCTGAGGGTGGACAGATCACCGAACGAGACCAGCAGACTGTATCTGATGTAGATCCATCTAGAGAACCACAACCCCAGTCCATCTCAGAAGCTGCACCAGGTACCACTGAGTCTGAAAGAGAGCAGGTCGGTGAACCCGGAGAGGAGGACAAAGAAGGTGCTTTTCAAGAGGCGGTTGAGGGCACCGAACGAGACAGAGAGGAAGTCCATGAGTCTGCAGACAAGCCTCAGGCTCCAGAGACTCAAGACACCAGCACCTCCGAGCAAGGAGAGCAAGCAGAGGCCACGCAGCCTCGAGAACTGGAAGGTGAAGAAGGATATACAGACCCTGCTGTGACAGAAGATGAGCAATCAACCTTCGGGCAAACCCAGGAGGTGTTCAAGCCTCAGCAGGTGCTTCAAAAGGAAATGGATGTAGGCAAAATGTAGGCTGCAAGATAGCAACATCCCAGCTCTTTCCTTAGCCTCTTAATTCCCATAAATATTTTCGAATTTACTGTAACATGCATCTTCTTAGTACTAATAAAGACCTGAGCAAGATTGTGTGAAGCTTCTTGTTGTGCTTTACAATAACAAGAGTGATTAATCAGGGAAAGCTGAGAAATGTTCCAGCTTAAGGTGACAGACAGATATTTGTCAATGTGACACCTAGTTGACTTCTCGTTGTGCTTGCAGAGAATTTTATATGATTTTTTATGCAATGGATATGGTTGCACATTGCATCACTTGAGTTCTAGTAAATATTGTGTAATTCTCATCTAACTGGGATGGTTATGATGCCAGTGCCTCTTGAGCATGGTTATATTCAGGATTCATTAACCTCAAACCCTCAAAATTAGGAAACTAGAAAGTGCAAATCGATTTGACAAGAAAAATCCAATGGGCAAACACCCATCAGTTAACCCTCAATGGAGTATCATTTTCTTCAATATTTTCTCTCCACATCCTCGTCGAGGAGATTTAAAGCGAGCCAAAGCATTCGGAATAATCTCCTCACTAATCTGTCACCCAATTACCGCCACTGTGCAGAGACAACTCCCCTGGAGTCTCTCCCATAAGCACACAGCCAATCTACCAATCGAACACCCAGATGTGATAGAGGAGAGAGGATTGTGAGACAAAGGAGAGCATGATGCTTGATTTATTACTCGACAACATCAGGAGGTTATATAGGTGGGATAAGCAAATAGGTGTAAAGCGTAGGAGAAATAACATCCACTATATTGGCAATGCAGCTCATTTATTAACTTTAGAGATTTGCAGAGAGGAGTAATAAATAAAAGGCTTGCTTTTGTAAATTCCATTTATTATAAAAATGCATAGCTTACATCCCTACACAAAAAGAAAAAAGAAAACACGCAAATAAGAAAAGAAAAAGAAGAGGAGACAATAAACAGCCTTTGAGAAAGAGCTCCAGCATTCAGGCCCAGTTCTCAGAGAAGACACAGTCCATTGTAACAAATATGCAGATGATTTAAACAGTGCTTCCATTTGAATTCAGGGGGGAAACAAGTTTAGGTCAATATGAGGGACAGAAAGTCCAAAACGTACTCTACACAAGTATGTGAACATAAACTTTAGCTCAGCAAGCTTGGTTTCACATCTGAATGGGTCTGAAAGTAATTTATATTGCAACACAAGCATGCATTGCATTACCAGTGTTGTCCTCTATTTGATCAGAACATGATGGAGCAACAGTTTAAGAAGAATCTTAACTTAGAACTCAAGCTAGAAAATTAGTTAAATGTATAGTTGAAATTAAAATTCAGTGATTGTTTACTCACTCTCATGTTGTTCCAAACCTGTATGACTTTCTTCTACAGAACACAAGAAGATATTTTAAAGAATGTTTGAAGAACACTTTGAAGAACAATTCATTTGAAGGGAGCTCTATTGCCCCCTTGAGGTTTGAGACTTGCCATTACAATGTTTACCCATGCTTTCGCATCAAGGTACTTGGGTAGAGTATGTTTATGACCATAGACTCGATACTACAGAAATTCGGCCTGGTCTCATCCCATTTCGTACCTCTCCCTTGCCACTTGACTAGTAGCTCTATCACATTCATTTTTCTTCATTGACATAGTAATTGAAAGCTACTGGTATTTGATCCAACCTTGTACCATGTAGAGTGACATTTGATTTATGGACTACTCACTAGCAGATTAATGACTTTTGGTTTAAGTAAATTTATGAAACTGATAAAACTAGATTTTGGCACTGGCTTGGAATAAATACCATGGGTGTGTAAGCCCATATTCACTCCCTGGCTTAGGCTGAAGCCATCCTGGGTTCCTGAGGTCTGGCCTCGGGTTCTTCTATGGGTTCTGCAGGCATTTCGTTGCTGTAAAGGTAGTACGGAGGGGTCTGCCGAGCTTCAATGATGAGAACTCCTTCCGGAGACAGAGAGGCGAACACAGTGAGAGGGTCCACATCGGATGGGATTCTGTGAAAAATCAGAGAGTTTAGAATGATGTCCATTTTTTCCATAAGTAGAAAGTTTCCAAAAGGGGGGTTTCACAGCAATGCCATAAAATAACCATTTTGGGTTCCCCAAAGAACCTTTCAGTAAACAGTTCTTAAAATAACTATTTTTTACTTAGGGTGAAGAACATTTTCGATAATCTAAGTAAACTTTATGCACTATAAAGAACCTTTGTGCAATGAAAAGTTTCCATGGATGTTAAAGTTTCTTAATGGAACCATCAATGCCAAAATAAATATACATAAATATACCTTTTTGACACAGATTGAACCAGATTCTGATTTAGGCCATTGTAAAATGTGGTTGTACATATCTGATAGCTAATATCTAAATACATACTGTACTTTTCAACTTAAAAAGTGCTTTTTGGATTGTACCATGCAGTTGCACTGACACAAAGCTTGGAATCAAATGTTACACTAAGAAGTTGACAAAGGTCAGTTTAATATTAACAACTACACAGTATTGCCTGAACATAACCCAGACTAATTGAGTTCTAACTCAAGTCTAAAGTTGATATTAACCCAGAATTGTGAAAGTTGCTCAAACTATACCCTTGTGTACTCAGTATATTCTCATTTTGGTTTAATTTTCAACAAACTTCATTTTCTGTGTGGCAGCTTGTGGCTAGAAGATAATTCCCAATGCATTTTGTGGTTTTCATTTAAATGTTCTGCCTGCCATCACTTGCAATGAGAGAAAGAGAGAGAAAGTGAGCGAGTCCTGCTCCAGGTGCTGGGCTCAGAAATAGAGTCTGTTGCCAATTATTACAAATCGCCTCCTGATGCAAAGTTTATCACCAGAAATTTCCATCTACACACTAGTCTAATCATCCAGCAGGCAGACTGACTGCAGCCATTTTAATGAGAGGAGTTCTTACTGTCTGTTTGAATTGTGATGCCTTTAAGGCTGGATTACCATAAATTCATATCTTCTCTACAGAGAAAGGGTGGAACTTGTTTTGAACATGAATGAATGGTGATATCACACAAAGCCACTTCCTGCTGCATAAGTCAAGAGGTGAGGGAACTTTTAGAGCTGCTTTAGAGATTTGAGAGGCAAATGCAGCGTTTGGGAAATGCTAGATAAAATAATTGTACTTAACACAGTATATGAAATAAATAATTTCCACTGTCAGCAATATATTACTAAATGCACTGCAAAAAGCAACATCCTAACCTTCCTTGTAATGCTTTGCATAGGCAGAAACTCCACACATAGTAAAGAACACTTTGTTTGAGTCACATTCACAATTATATTAGAGTTTGACTTTAAGTTTCTAAACTAATGATGAGATGCCCTACTCTAATAATCACAAAAATATACAGAACACACAAAAACCTGATACTTTCTAATTAGATTGAATAGTTTTTTTTCTTTATTAAATATGTTTATAATATATTATTAGAGTTTGCGGATCGCAAAATAATAAATACATAAATAGTATGCTCACTGAATATATATGAACTGCTGTTCAAAAATCTGTACGGTTTTTTAATGTTTGTGGAAAGTCTTTTATGAGCACCAAGGCTGAACTGATTTGATAAACGACCCTCGCTGTATCTGGCGCTGAAGCCCCGCGGGAAGCCCGTGCTCAACGGGCCCGTCCACGGCGCGTCAAGGCGCGTGCTCAGTCGAGGTCGTGCCCAGCCGGGCCAGTCCATCGATAACTCGTCGTGAAAAGGTGGCAGTCCAAAGTCATCGTCCATAAATCGAGAAGCGAGCGACTGTTCACCAAACGGATCCCTTGGAATCCTCTGTCGGTTGCCCATAGTGTAGTAATCCCCTTCTGCCATGGTGAAACTTGGGGAAAAAAGTGAATTTAGATAACTTTTCTTGTTCAAAACGTCGCGTTCCTGTCAGAAGTACGAATATAAGTTATTAAAAACGGCGCAAAACTAATTCCGTTTCAAAAACTTGCCGCAAGTCTCCAGGCGCGTGATTACGCACCTAAATTTACTTGTACCACTGTGCTCATGTAGGAGTTCTAGAAGTTTACTGCCAATACAGTAAAACTGCACATTTTAGAGTGGCCTTTTATTGTGGCCAGCCTAAGGCACACCTGTGCAATAATCATGCTGTCTAATCAGCATCTTGATATGCTACACCTGTGAGGTGGATGGATTATCTCGGCAAAGGAGAAGTGCTCACTAACACAGATTTAGACAGATTTGTGAACAATATTTGAGAGAAATAGGCCTTTTGTGTACATAGAAAAAGTTTTAGATCTTTGAGTTCAGCTCATGAAAAATGGGGGCAAAAACAAAAGTGTTGCGTTTATAATTTTGTTGTGTATATTTCTGCATAAAAATGACTCAAAACATAATACAATTTTCCTTTCCTGAAAGTAGACAAAGAGAACCCAAACAAATGAGACAAAATTATTTTCTTTGCCATTTATTTATTGAGAAAAATGATCCAATGTTACATATCTGTGAGTGGCAAAAGTATGTGAATCGTTGCATTCAGTATCTGGTCTGACCCCCTTTTGCAACAATAACTGTAGGTAATGTTTCTTGTAACTGCTGATCAGTCCTGCACAACATCTTGAAGGAGATTTAGCCCATTCCTCAGTACAGAACCGCTTCAGCTCAGTGATGTTGGTGGGTTTCCTCCTATGAACTACTTGCTTCAGTTCCTTCCACAAAATTGCAATTGGATTAAGATCCAGACTTTGACTTGACCATTATGAAACATTCGCTTTGTTCTTCTTTGGTAGAACAACTTGTGTGCTTGAGGTCGTTGTCTTGCTGCATGACCCACTTTCTCTTGTGAATTAGTTCACTGACAGATGTCCTGACATAATTATAATTCATTGTTCCATCAATGATGGCAAGCTGTCCTGGACCAGATGCAGCAAAACAGGCTCAAACCATGATACCAGCACCACCGTCTTTCACAGATGGGATGAGGTTCTTATGCTGGAATACAGTGTGTTCTTTTCTTCAAACATAACACTTCATATTTAAACCAAAAAGTTCTATTTTGGTCTCATCTGTCCACAAAACATTTCTCCAGTAGCCCTCTGGCTTGTTCGCATGATCATTAGCAAACTGCTGACTTGAAGCGATGTTCTTTTTGGATGCACCATGCACACTATGGTTGCTCAGAGTTCTCCTGATGGTGGACTCATGAACATTAACATTAGCCAATGTGAGAAAGGCCTTTAGTTGCTTAGAAGTTACCCAGGGTTCCTTTGCTTTTGGAGTGATATTTGCTGGTCAATCACTCCTGGGGAGGGTAACAGTGGTCTTGAATTTCCTCTATTTGTACACAATCTGTCTGACTGTGGATTTGTGGAGTCCAAACTCTTTAGAGATGTTTTTGTAACCTTTTCTAGCCTGATGAGCAACAGCAACTCTTTTTCTGAGGTCCTCAGAGATCTCCTTTGTTCATGCCATGATACACTTCCACAAACATGATCGAACTTTGATAGAACCCTGTTCTTTAAATAAAACAGGGCACGCACTGACACCTGATTGAAAACAACTCTGAAAAACAGATGGACTCTAATTTCACCTTCAAATTAGCTGCCAATCCTTTTGCCACTCACATATATGTAATATTGTATAATTTTCCTGAATAAATAAATGACAAAGAACATATTTTTGTCTTTGATTGGGTTCTCTTTGTCTACTTTCAGGACTTGTGTGAAATTTTGATTATGTCTTGAGTCATATTTATGCAGAAATATAGAAAAAAAAAGGGTTCTAAAGGGTTCACAAACTTTCAAGCGGGACTGTGTACACACACACACACACATAAAGACACGAACTTTGATAGAACCCTGTTCTTTAAATAAAACAGGGCACGCACTGACACCTGATTGAAAACAACTCTGAAAAACAGATGGACTCTAATTTCACCTTCAAATTAGCTGCCAATCCTTTTGCCACTCACATATATGTAATATTGTATAATTTTCCTGAATAAATAAATGACAAAGAACATATTTTTGTCTTTGATTGGGTTCTCTTTGTCTACTTTAAGGACTTTTGAAATTTTGATTATGTCTTGAGTCATATTTATGCAGAAATATAGAAAAAAAAGGGTTCTAAAGGGTTCACAAACTTTCAAGTGGGACTGTGTACACACACACACACATAAAGACAGTGAATAAAGAGAGTGCAATTTTAAATAAGCAAAATAGTGGTTGAATTAATTAGATTAATAATTTATTTAGAACTTTGAATATCATACCATATTCAGACCACAGAGAACTAGGCATTGATTTACTTTAGCAAGGGAGACATTGATATTCTTGTGCACATAAACAACATTGTATATACATTGTAGAATAGAGGAAAATGATAGGGGAATGTTCTTGACATAATCTTCCAGCCTGGTGCCCTGCATTGAGATTTTTAACTTTGCACTAAAACAAAGACACACTTGCTTTATATCTTTACCATTAATTATGTGCAAAAATAAATAAATTACTTGCATTACAGGATATTGCAATCATTTTTTTTGCAATTAAAGAAGACAATGGCATCCTCTGTAGCATGTTTTGACTTGGATTTTGTAAAATAGGTTGGATTCATGGCAACATTTTAGCATGTTTTGTTTTTTAGAGGGAATGCAAATGATGTAAATTAGAAAGCCAGCCTTGTAAACAGTCAGTACCACTACTCCATCTCAATAAATAAAGCCCATGCCTAATATTGCCACACTAAACGTTTGCATATTTACACAACAGATTTACATATTCATTTACTAAACTCATTTACGTTTTGAGATGAGAGAACAAGATGAATTCAAGAAGATAAATAGTTTGTGATACACTTCAAGTTTTTCCCCCTTCCTCTACAACTTATCTGTACAAGTGTCAGAATTCACAACAGTCAGACAGCTAATAATATACAGTGCATAGAGATCACCATGCCTTCGTTTAACAAGCATTCAAATAGACTTTATGACACAGAAACAAAGAAACTGCCATCATCTGTCGCAATGAAGGTGATGATTTTTACACGCCGTTTCATCAAGCTGTATCGCACACCAAATATATATCTTTGATCCTTTAAAAAAAATCCTTGATCTAGCCACTCTGAATTCTTATGACAGCCATCTTCATTTCTCCCAGTCTGTAATAGTTTCTCTGCTGTTGCACTGATGTACAACCAATAAATATGCTTTATAAAATATTCATATTTATAAATATCATCATCATTTACAATATGTGTAATAAGTGTGTGATTAGATTAGTGCAGGACTGGATGTTTAAACTGTGGGAAATAAATGATATAAACAACAACAACAACAAAAGTTAGCTATGTGAATATCAAAAGTTTTATCTTATAAATAATTCAAGAGATCTAAATAATAAAATATCTTTACCTCACTATTTGCAGACCCAAAAGAAATAATGACAGTTAAAAATACAAAAAAGCTAGGCATTAAAATAATAAATAATTTAACACAGCTCAAGGGTTATGCATTTCAAAAATGACATAATAATAATAATTAAGTATAGCAGTGCTTTGAATCTTGGAAACAATAGGACAGGGAAAATGTACCTTTTCTTTGTTCACCCTGGTGCCCTGCATTGAGATTTTTAACTTTGCACTAAAACAAAGACACACTTGCTTTATATCTTTACCATTAATTATGTGCAAAAATAAATAAATTACTTGCATTACAGGATATTGCAATCATTTTTTTTGCAATTAAAGAAGACAATGGCATCCTCTGTAGCATGTTTTGACTTGGATTTTGTAAAATAGGTTGGATTCATGGCAACATTTTAGCATGTTTTGTTTTTTAGAGGGAATGCAAATGATGTAAATTAGAAAGCCAGCCTTGTAAACAGTCAGTACCACTACTCCATCTCAATAAATAAAACCCATGCCTAATATTGCCACACTAAACGTTTGCATATTTACACAACAGATTTACATATTCATTTACTAAACTCATTTACGTTTTGAGATGAGAGAACAAGATGAATTCAAGAAGATAAATAGTTTGTGATACACTTCAAGTTTTCCCCCCTTCCTCTACAACTTATCTGTACAAGTGTCAGAATTCACAACAGTCAGACAGCTAATAATATACAGTGCATAGAGATCACCATGCCTTCGTTTAACAAGCATTCAAATAGACTTTATGACACAGAAACAAAGAAACTGCCATCATCTGTCGCAATGAAGGTGATGATTTTTACACGCCGTTTCATCAAGCTGTATCGCACACCAAATATATATCTTTGATCCTTTAAAAAAAATCCTTGATCTAGCCACTCTGAATTCTTATGACAGCCATCTTCATTTCTCCCAGTCTGTAATAGTTTCTCTGCTGTTGCACTGATGTACAACCAATAAATATGCTTTATAAAATATTCATATTTATAAATATCATCATCATTTACAATATGTGTAATAAGTGTGTGATTAGATTAGTGCAGGACTGGATGTTTAAACTGTGGGAAATAAATGATATAAACAACAACAACAACAAAAGTTAGCTATGTGAATATCAAAAGTTTTATCTTATAAATAATTCAAGAGATCTAAATAATAAAATATCTTTACCTCACTATTTGCAGACCCAAAAGAAATAATGACAGTTAAAAATACAAAAAAAGCTAGGCATTAAAATAATAAATAATTTAACACAGCTCAAGGGTTATGCATTTCAAAAATGACATAATAATAATAATTAAGTATAGCAGTGGTTTGAATCTTGGAAACAATAGGACAGGGAAAATGAAAAAAAAAATACACACACACACACATCTTGAGGATGTGAGCAGAAAGAATTTGAATGCCTGACATTTCTGCCAATTGCTTTGTAAATATTTAAACAATCAAAAAAATAAATAATATTTTCGCTAATTTGATAATTCAGCTACCAATTCTACTAAAATACTCTCAGCTTAGTTTAAATATTTTTCCACGTTTAAATCCATTCCTCAGGTTTCTACAGATTTTTCTCCACAATCAATGCAGAAAGGTTTAGAAAAAATATGTAAACTATCTTGGTTTACTGATCTCCAAAGAAAGATCAGCGTAGCACTTCCCTTTTGTGATTCATAGAGTAGGTTGTTAGCTTGTGTCATAACACTAGTAGTTCTGTAAGAACAGACCTTGTAATTCTACGGGCTTCCAGGTGACTGGGGGAATCTCTTCTTCTCTTCCTCATTGGGGAACAAGGTCTTCTCCTGCTGTGCTTTCTACTCTTGCAGGAACTGCAGTCCCTTTTCCGCTCTCGAAACCTTTTCATCCACACATAAAAGAGATGTGAGAGTGTATGTGTTTAATAACAGATTTCGTTAATTTGACAGTTATTGTCAAACAATTATTTTAGATAAAATTACACATCTTCTTTCAGCTGAAATTCACCTGTCTGGTGTGCACCGTGAGTAATTTAGACTGTGGTAACTGCTCGCACTAGACAGACTGTCTCTCTGTGAATCCAGGGAGTAACTAGACGAACGGGAATATGATCTGTAAATGAGCCGAGGGAGATGATATAGTCAGATACAAAAATACAAGTTTGCAACTAAATCAAAAGCTTCAAATCAGAGTTGTGGTTTCTATAATAAATAGCAGCTGTGTGACCCACCTTCTCCCTGAGGACTGGGATCGGCTTCTGGAATAGCGCCCTGAGTATCTGCTTTGGGATGATATGCTTCTGCTGCGGGACCTCGTTCGATCCTGATATCTATCAGAAGACGGACTCCGAGTCCTATCAGTGATGAGACCCAGAGGCTTTGTCTTCTCCAAATCAGAGTAGCTGCCCGTTTTTTCACTGCAATTATAAGAGGGAAATTATTTTAGACCTTTACTTTAATACTTCAAAATATAATAGAAGATCTGCATAGCTGCAGAGAGAGACTGCACTCTGTACCAGGGTTACTATTGTTAACTAAAACTAAATCTACAAACGTTAACTGAAATAAAATATAAAAATAAAAATTATTTCAGCCAGTTGCCAAGTAATATTTCTAATTTTCTCTTTAGTTTTATTTTAAATTTAATAAAAACTATGTTTGGGCTAAAAAACAAACAATCCATGTTTGGCTAGATTTTGTTTTATTTTATTAACTTGAAAAGTCGCTCATCAGCGGTAATATGTCAAGAATGAAATGGAAGCTGAACCTACACCCAAAATTAAGATATTGTTAACGTATTTGGCATGGTCTAATGGCATGTTAAACAGTGATACATTTGATGAATACCATATATTATTTTTTACCTACACTTTTTCTAACTGTAATAGAATCAATTCAAACAGATGTAAAGCCTCACCGTTTGAGCTTGTTGAAGTCAGAGCTGTGTAGGGTATTTTCTTTGACCAGTGGTTTACCCAGAGATTCATAGCTGGTTAGTGAGTTGCCTGAATCTGAGGCATTGTCCCCATAGGCTAGCCTAAGCTTCTCAGGAGATGTCAGATCCTGACACAAGAACTTTCCGTTTCCAGTAACCTTTGATTTTGTGATGCCTGTTTTACTTGACAGCGGAGAGGACGTGTCATTTCCTGAATCGTAATCTGCATGTCCTTTGCCCTTATTGGATATTGAGTCCTGGACGATCACCATTTTGTTTAAATCCTCAACCCCAGAACGTGATGGTGAGACCTGCAAGCAGACAAAGCAAAGTTGTTGTTTTTCTAAAGAAAAACAAGGCCACATCAAAAATCTGCTACCTGCATGATGCAGTTTGAGTACTCTTTAAAAGGCACAAATGTCCCTACAGAGCGCAGAAAGGAAATTAATCAAGTTTTTTGGGACAGAAACTAAAAGATTAAAAAACGCCATGCAAATCTGTCGCATGCGAGAAATTTGAAAAGGAGAAGAACAAAGCAAGTACTCTAACAAAAGAAACTAATGAAATAGAGACTGAAGAGAGAAAATAAACAATGAACCAATGCTAATGAAAGAGAACAATTAAAGAAACATCCAGATCAAAAAAGAGAAAAAAGAACCTACATGAATAAACTTCCAGCTACTTTTATGTTCGAAGAAAGGGAGAGAAAAAGGAAACAGAAATCCCCCAATTTGAAAGTATTTTTCCTTTAAAGAACATTGAACAGACATCACAGAATGGACTTAAAAAAATATATAATTATATGAAAAGGGTTGCAGACAAAAGAAATATCTCCATCACTCTATGTAAATCCTTGAGAAAAACAAAAAGAACATGTTTCTGCTTTAGCCCCCTGTCGGAAGAGATTTTACAGTCCACCAGCGGCCTACAGTAAGTCCCTGAATCTGCGGATAGCATCGACTTACCAATCAAGACTTCCTCCTTAAGTAGGTAAGGTGTAAGAAAAAAGGAAGAGCGGATGACATAAGTGCATCATTAGAGTGGTAAAGTGCAAGAAAAAGACAATAACCCTCTCTTCTTTAAATCCAACTCCACTCTACCACATAAGCCTTTTTCTTTACCTTTGTTGTGCACCTGTAGGTCTTAAATTAGCTATTTTCTTTTGTGGAACTGATGGAATAAATAGACTCTACACCTTTCATGGAAAATGAAAAGCAGCAGCTAAACTTCAGTGAAATTCTAGTTTGCTACAGTTGCACAAAAAGTAATCAAACTCTGGTTCATGGTAGAATTTGCACAACTGTGAGAGAGCCCGGTGATTATTTGTAATGATCTAGCTGTGAAGTGAGACAAAAACAATTATGTGCAGGTTATGTATTATCCCTGCCCTATTCTCTAGGGCAGGGATCCTCAAATCTGGCCCACGAGATCCACTTTCCTGCAGAGTTTAGCGCTAACCCTAATCAAACACACCTGAGCATGCTAATCAATGTCTTCAGGATCATTAGAAAATCACAGGTAGCTGTGTTTGATCATGGTTGGAGCTAAACTCTGCAGCGCATTGGACCTCCAGGGTAAGATTTGAGGAACCCTGCTCTAGGGCATCAGCTTTTTGCAAGCTTCAGTATATGAAACAAACAAATATTTTTTTCTTCAAAAGACAGACAAAAAAAAAAGAGACAATGTCAACATCTATAGTTTAAGAACTTTCAGAAAACAAATAAAAAATCAGTGCAAGGAATATTTTATTCACACACACTAGACAATCTTTAAATATTATAGCACAAGACAAAAAATATTAGCAATGATTAAAAGACTAGCGAATGTAATTAGTGTAACTTTAATGATTGTGTCAGGCAAAGTGATTTATCTGCCACGCATTCAGACGATCACTGAAAGCTTCAAAGCTATGATACAAAAGTTTATTTAAAAGCTTTCTGAAAGTAATGTTAGAAAATCCATGATGCAGCATATAGGTTTATGTTAATTATTAACATTAAATTATGATATTATATGATTACTCTCCAGGACCATGTTCTTTAGTGATGGTGAACTTTTATTCATTGAATGATGTTTGATATTTCTGGTTGGAGTGGATGCATTTAGAGCGTGGCAGTAGGTTGCATGTCACTTTTAACAAGTGTAATTACTAAGAGTGGAAAACACTCGAAAAGCACTCTCATTAAAAAGTTAATTATTTTAAGTTTAAATTGTGTGTTAACCATGTGTGCAATATGCAAATCTCATGTTGGTTAAAAATCCCAACGACACAAATAACCTCACTCAAAGGCATTGCTACAATGGTGATTATTGTTCCCATTAAAAAGGAAATGGCAATGAAATATTAGCCAACTTTCAAAACAAAAAGGACTCTAGAAAAACTTCATCTGTTTAAAGTGATATG